GCTTTTCATTACCCAATGAAATGGGTAATGTCATGATGTTACCTAGTTAGGTAATGAAAAATCTACAAGCAAACAACCAAGCTCACAGAGCACAGAGATTCCAGGTTTAATTGTGGTCATTAAGTGATCTGAAAAACAAGTACTTTCCTTTAGTAGGAAGTTAGTGAGTATATAGATTGAATTAAATATTATATTGGTGTTTTTTGTTTTTTTTTTAAAAAACCTGTTTTTTAGGTTTTATATATATTTGAAGCATAATCAATCTTTTAAAGGGAAACTATTATACAGAAATACTAGAATGAATTTGAAATAAATAAATAAATAGCTAATTTTATTTTACTGCTAAAGTATTTTAAAATATTTTATTTAATGAAAAAGCAATATTATAATTATAAAAATGGTAAGAAAAATATCCAATTAATTGCAGATAATTTAAAATGGCAACTAAAGTTGTAGTATTCCCAAATGTCATATTTGAAAAAGAAATCTGATATAAAATTTAATACATTTGCAAACTAGTTGTGGACTACAATTCTTTCAATGGGCTTCTAACACACCTGAAATTCAGATTTTTTTAATATAAACTTTTAACATTTAAGTCATGGATTTTTGTTAAATAAGAATAAATTTCCTATTGATTAGATGAGAGTGTGATTTTTCATTTTAATTTGTTTTTATATTTGTAGTTTTCAAATGAAGTTAGGCATTTAAGTATGTAGGACTAAATTAACATTCTGAGAAGATATTCTTAATTTATTTAATTTTATAATGCTTGTAAATCTCTTATCTACTTATTTAGTGTTTTAATCTTGTTTCTTGACTTTGCTTTTTTCCTTTCTAAACGTTCAAAAAATATTTTAAAAATCCGTAAAAATTGTAGGAGGCATTTGTGTACCATAATTATAAGAGCAATTTGCATGATTTATTAGTAAAGATATGTATAATTGTTTTAAGGGATATAAAAGATGTGCTAATTTTTTTAACTGTAACAAAAAATACATAGAGCCTTAGAGATGTATCATCAATGAAAAATTCAGCATCCAGTTAATTACACATATATTTTAGGCTAACTTTTTTTTAATTCTACATTTTTTTATTACTTATTATCTCCATTCTTATAGGGGTCTCCAAACTTGGCAACTTGTGGACTTGTGGACTTCAATTCTCAGAATTCCTGGGTCAGCCATGCTATAGTGTGCTGGTAAACAATATTCAAAATGTTGGTCTAAAACCTAACTTAAGGTCAGTCAGCATCAGCCTGTCCAATCTAATTTCTAGAGTTGTTGTGGGGGAAAATTAGATGAGGAAGTGCTATACCTTCTGCCTCCAGTAAGATATATATTCAATGAATGTATGAATAAATAAATACAGAATATTTATTGAATGTTTATAGCAAAAGCATATCACTTCTGTCAGTTCAAGGGCTACATCGCATTTTACATGATATATCAAGGGCAGGATTTGTATTCTGAGGGATTTTAAAATGTAAGCCACTGCAAATCTCTGGATTGCAATGCTGTAGAAATGTGGACATCTGATCAATCATGCAATAAAGTGCTTTAAGCCTATGCAAACCTGAAAGCAGTCAAACATTTGGTCCTTTAACTCTCACCCCCTGCCCTCAAACTCCAAAAAATGCAAAGTAAAGGTCCAAAATGTTTGGCACATTGACACTAGGGTAGTTCTAAGATGTTGGCCATTTTAGTTATCTGCTCACCTGGTTTATATTCTAACTATTTAGCAGCTCTTTCTGAATAGAAGTTGAAAGATGCTGTAAAGATGCAGGCAGGATCTAATTTAATTCATAAAATAACATCATCACCAGTAAATAATAATAATAACTTTATTGTCACTTTGAATGTACACCAATTGGCACATATCAAAATGAAATTTCATTGCATACAGCTCTCAAAGGGTCACCACCTCCGATATACACTCCTTGTTTGTGGCCAGCTCAAGTTACAGATCTTCCATTTTAGTCTCTAGGGGGCGAACAACGGCAAACAGGACAGATGGAAACAGAGCTCCATGTAAATTAGCCCTCAAATTAGCTTGTATTCCTGCACGACAACCTCGCCTCCTTTCTGATCCTGTCTCTTCCACCTTTTCCTTAAAGGGGCCTCTCTTCTTTTCACCCCTGGAGCCTGCTGCTGCCGCTGCCTCCATCTCCTCCAAAAACCTCTCTCCCTTCCTGTGGGCTTGCAGACAGCCTCATCCAGTTCCTTTGCTCCATAAGCCCGGGACCTTTACTTTTATATCATTATTTATGTTCTGATAACTAGTTAATACAACGAACTCATTAATACTAGTAGTCCTCAACTTATGACCATAATTGACCCCATAATTATGGCCATAAGTCGTGCCATAGTTAAAGTGGGTCACATGACACCTAATTTTATAATCCTCTTTGTGGAGACTACTAAGCGAATGTGATGGTGTAAAGTTTATACTTCACTTTTAAGCAAATCCATTGTCCTCACTGGATGTTTTTTTCCAGAAACTAGAAGAAAACATTAATTTCTGGCAAAAAAGAGAGTTCCTATGGATTTTACTCCACTAATTGCTGTCAACTGTAGAGGGCAGTGATCATCTCCATTTCAAGGCCACTGAGCCAGTGCTGTCCAAAGATATTTCTGTGGTCATGTGGCCAGCATGACATCATGGAGTGCTGTTAATTTCTGGCAAAATCAGTTGTAAACTCTGGTCACATGACCGCGGGGTAGGGAAAACTAAGATGGACAAGCTCCACTGCAGGAAGGTGAATGGTTTCTCTGCATGGGTGACTCATTATAACCTAATTCAATGTAATAACATTTTGAGTATAAACTGAGCATACAATAAAAAAATATCTGTCATTTGAATATCAAGCTAAATATAATAAAATCTAATTAGATGTATTTCTTATCTCTGTCACATGGCGTTTATCCAGCAAAGTACTAGAAATTCTACAATACTTCAGGATATGCTAATAACCAATATTCACACTAATGAGCCTAATTTAAGAATAGGAACAGCACCTCTCCAGATAAGGAAAGGGCAGGAGAAGTGTCTGAGAAGTGTGCAGAACTTTCAGTCTTATGGATCTGATTTTTGGAGCAGCAGTGTCTGTGGAAGAGATGGCAAGCTCTCAGTAATAGCGTATTCTATAAAAGACATTGGGTTTGCAAAAGCTCCCATTTTTTAAAACAGATTTGGAAGACAATTACTTCAAAGTTAAAGAAAGATCTTTGATGCAGCAGAGCAATCTAGCCATTCAGTAAATGATCCTTTATCCCAGATTAAAGAAAAGAGCAAAGGAATAATTTATAGGATTTAAAAATAATTAAAGGTAAAAAAATTCACCAAGAATTAAAATAAGAAAGTTTAGAACACACCAGTTGAATTTCAATTTGCTTTAAAAAGTATTTTTAAACTGAGTAAATGATTAACATATCTCTGTGGGAAGGAATTTTATTGCTACTAATTGGACACAATGACTGGACAACTTTGCAAAACAAAAGATAAGGGAAATTTGCTAATGATCATCTGATTACAGAACTGTGTGTAATGAATGGAGCTAAAGACTAGAGAAAGGAGGGAATTAGTTTTTTACTTGTTATTTTCTCTTTCGGGATGGAAATGGCTGTTATTAGAAAAGTAATGTAATTTATATAAATAACAAAAAAAGATATTACACTTGATGCATTCCAACAAATTTTTGATGAATTGAGAAAGAATGTTACAGCTACAATAACTGCATCAATAATTGCCTATGTGAATTCATTATTTAAAAGAGATAAGAAAGAAGAGATAAAAGTAGAGATAAAAAAACAACTGAAGAATCTTCAGGATAATTGAGTGGATAGGTGAAACAAATTAAAAGTGTAGATTTTGTAAAATAAAATAGTAGTAATAAATAGGGAATATTTAGAGAAAGAATCCTATTTGAGACCAAAAGTACTCGTAGAACGACTTGATGAAAATAGTAAGGTTAACGTTCTTGAAGACTTAATATTTTTTTTTTAGTATTGGAAGAAAAAAATGTTCATGACAACATTTAAATTTCAAGTTAAGGATTAATAAAACCAGAATATTATATAAAATAAAGGAATACAAAACTGACTTGTTGGATCAGGGATAAGACAGTAAATACTTTTACAAAATAGTGGAGACTTTTTATAGACTTTCTGCTGAAAATCGATAGAACTGAATTAATGGTTTTTGGATTTATCAATTGAAAAGGGTTGGATATAGGAAGAAATGAACTTTGTAATGTAATTTCAAGGAGGGAAGAAGGATATTAAGTTTGTAATGTCCTTAAAGAAGATTGGAGATCACTTTCTTAAATATCTTTTTCATTTTCTTTTTTCTATTTTCTGCACTTTTTATCTTTTCATTAACTTCTATTTTTCATTTTCAGCTTAGTCTTATTTTGTATTACATTTTGCTATTGTTAAAGTCTTTAGTGAACATTATTTTAAAAAACAGTTATGAATATTCAAATAAGCATGCTTACACCACTAAGGACATCTATTTGAATGACTAAAAGCAAGGAGTTTTGCTACCTTCTCTTCCTTCTCCTTAAAGAAAATTGACCTCCATTCAGAGAAAAGGAAAGAGGTTTCTCAGGTCCCAGAATATCCCAAGAATCTATTGCTTAATGTCAAAGGCTACTAGAGTAGTTGCTTTGCACAATGTAGCAGTTCCTCCATGGGGCCTAGAAGTAAACCATCATTCCCCTTTATTAAGCTCTATAGAAGGAGCACATGGCTGAAGATTAAATCAAAATGAAATGGCCCTTTCAAACTTTGCATAAATCTAACGCTCATATTCTGTTTGTTTGTTTCACATCTGCTAGCTTCTGTGGGAAACAAAACATTGGAAATAAAAGATATTATATTCCTTACTGTCTCCTCTTCATTATTACATCATTCAATCTAAATGACTTTTATTTTTAATGCAATTTTAAAAATAGCCGGAAAAAGAACAACACAACACAGTATGTATTGTATGGAGCTTACCTCATATTCTTCTTTGAACCCATAGCCTTCTGCACATTTCATCTGAGTGATATGTTGCAATAAATCTGCAACACGAATGGCTGGATGAAGCTGGCCTGTCTGGTATGGCACATCTACAGGGTCTCGTTTTTTGTATGTGTGTGACTGGACCAGGCTACTTGTGTCACTTCCGACAGTATGAGTTTCATCTAGAGAAACAAGATGCAATAAAGTATCGGACTACTTCCAGTTGATATATAATATACATTTTGAATGTAGTTTTTAACACCATCATCATCTTTCATTGTCTAGGTGAGCTAAATTGTAACTACTGTGTAGTTTATTCATGGAGATAGCACAAGGTATTGGGAAGAGACAGAGGTCTATTAGTTTACAATAAAAAATGTGTAGACCATATTTTATTATTTTATTTGCTCATTTAAACCTATCAGTAAATTGGGAAATTTATTTTTTTAGGATACTGATTTCTAAATAGTTCAGAAATTTCAGACTGAAACTTCATCAAGTCCTAGTCTTAATAAATAATTAAATATTTGCTGGAGTAGGATACTATTTATTATTTGTCACAATATTTCAGAGTGGAAAGCAAAATGTTTAAAATGCATAAAATAAAATGGAAGCAAGAGAAAAATGGAAATGGAGATTGGATACATTAGGAAGGAAAATATACAGAATAATGATGAGGAACCTTTTGATTGGAGATAATGCTTGACTGAAGTTAGCATGCTGCAAATTTAGATAAATATATGGCAAGGTCTATCACATTCAAGCATGAAATGTTATATGTCAGCTTACATGCAGGGCAACATACAACATGACCCCACTGACTGATTCAAACTGATGTGAAGCACATCATCTCCCACCCTCCACAGCATTGATGGGGCAATGGGAAACTTACCATTTATTGGCACTTTAAAGAAGATACGTATCAGGAAAAAAAAGAGAAGGAGGAGAAGAAAAAAGGAAACAGGCCATAAGCAACAGTACTACAATAATAATTGCAAGGTATTTTTATGGTTGTAATTTAAGCACCTTCAGTTTAGTTTCCCATCAGACAAACTGAATATTTTATTAGCATAAAGGGCTGAACAACCAGAAAAATGTTTTTTGGTTTTTTTTGCTGAATCATGTTGGTGCTTTTAATTTATGTGACAAGAACTACCTCAAGTGAGAATGAAATGTTTTGTTTTTCTCTCATTGTAAAAATTAATCTTCACAAATCTATTTAATAAAAATTAAAATAAACAAGTATATCGCCTTCTAAATCTATGGGTTACTTGGAAATTCTTAAGCAGGGTCATTTTATTACATGGGATCAAAGCAGATTAAATGACAGCCTATATGTGGTCTGCTGACTGGAACATTAAGGATGAACAAGTGATGCAGGTTTTACAGACTGAATCTTCTATGTGAAAAAAATACCCACTATTGTTTAATGGTCCCCATAAATTTACTATCATGTGACAAAACAGAGAGACAGACCATGAAACTGCAAGAGTTGTGTCTAATTTAAAATTTTCTAGATGTTGAATGGGTCTTTTAACAGCTACAGTTCTAACATTTCTGATGGTGCCAGAGTGAGAAGATAATATCAGAACTGAACACCATCCCTTAGCATCTCCTTATGGGTCATCAGTATAAAGCTCTGAGCTCTCAATATTCATGAATCAATATTTGTAGTGATTACATATGACTAACAACAGACTGACATGAGTAGAAATCCAGCATATCTGCCTAATGGAGATTTGATAATTATGTTATATTTAATTCTAAATATTAATATAAACCTGAAGCAAATATTTATATGAATAACATAAACCTGGGTTTATGTTATACTATTCCGAAGAAAGAAAAGAACCAGGCTTGGCTCTGCATTTATAGCGCCTAGATACTGTCCAATACTTTTGAAAAGGAACTAATTGAATGGGACAACTATAGATATTAGCAGAAGCATTTTTAGCATTTCCTTCTAGTATGCAAATTGAAATGTTCAGCACTTAACTTGCTTTTTATGTAGTGTGTCTGAATGTGTACCTTCGCTTCCCCCCAATACCTTGTCTTAAATAACTCTCAAAATTCCCAGTTCAAATATATACCCTACAAATCATGGGCCTTATAGCCCAATGTAGCTGGGGGAAGTGGGGAGAAGGCACCAAATTGAGGAAAGTTGATGTGCTTTAGGAATAGCATTTAGGCAGACCACTCTAGAATGACTAACAAGCCAATCAAGATTTTAGGCTATTTAGTTTAGGCTGCAAGTTTTGCATCTACAGAACCAGAATGGCTGTTTGCTATGCTATGTTGAGAAAAGCACCTGAGAGAAAAGCAATGGGAAGACAGAAAAAATGCTCTTTTCTTAAAACCATCCTTATATTTCCAGTTTGGAAGTAAATAACTGGCAAATGAGCTTTATAGCACCATGTTTGTCCCTGAACGTGAAATTTTAGGGTTGGTTCGGGTTTTTCTTTTTCTGTATGACAGTAAATGTCCCCAGTGCACGTATCTTAGTCCTGGCCCATATCCAAAGAATCCTTTAACTCAATGGGGAAAACTAGAGAGGTATACAGACCTCTGAACATTCACCAGAGTTCATCTAAGAGTGGGATACATTATTTATCTATCTAACATTACTAGATTAAATGAAATATGAAAGGGACAGTTGAAAGAACATGACTTTCACTGTTCTTATTTAGTAGATGTTAACAATATAATTTGCAGAGATTGGTTTTAATCCCAACTTCTCTTGTTTTGAACTGGACATATTTGATTTTAATTAAATGTGGCTTTCTCTTTTCTCCATAGTCCATCTTTTAAAAATCAGCCTTTCCTTTGGAATCTGAATTTTGAATGAATTTTAGAAGTTATATTGAATGAATGGAAGAATTGGTGGAAATTCCCCATTCATTTGTGAATGAAGAAATAATTTAGGAATCAGATCATTTCCTTTGTTTTCATGGCAATATACCCTGGGGTCCCAGTCACATTTTAGAAATTCTCCAGCCATTCATAAAAAACTACAATATTTTTTAGATTTGTCTACAAGCTCTAATCCAGACATGTCAAATTCATGATGTCACGTGACGTCACGCAACGTATCGGAGCTTTTTTGCCATTGCCGGCAATTGGGTGGGCATGGTTTCCCGATGATGCATCCGGCCCGTGGGCCGGCAGTTTGAGACCCCTGCTCTAATCTCTTAATTGGTACTACACAAATTTTTGTAGCTTTCAAATGATGTACAGGAAACCACATCCCCTGCCCAAGAAAGAGAGAGGGAGAGAGAATAGTGGATGGGGGAGGGAATAAGGGATTAGGAACTAAAAATCAGGATTAAAACTAATCTTAATGTGAAATGATTTAGATTAAGTATCTCGGTACATGTAGAGCTCCATAGTATGATTATTTCCAAAATATTGAAGAATTTTTCCCTTCTATTACATTTAAATTACTATGTGATAAGAATATTTTGGAGAGGCTCTAGGAGTCTTAATTAAATTTGGGGGGTTGCAAAGTGAATATCCCTGTTCTTAAGGTCAGACAGATGATCTACACCAGATGAAAATCAGAATATATGCATAGAGTTCTATACATGATAAAGAAAAGAACACCAACATTACTGAAATTATTTTGGCCTGGTGGATTGCACTGCTCCCGTAAGCAGTTAGTGAATCATTTAATCCTAACTCTGAATATCTAGAATAGCAAATGGATGCCATATACATGTGGCAATTTCGCCCAGATTCCAGGGTGGGCCAAATTTAACCTGATACAAATACTGATATGCAGAGTTCCCTTTAGCTCCTCTTCAACAAAACTGGGATGCATGGCATTAGGATGCATGGTATGAAAGGCGATATACAAGTGTTGTTACAATATGTTGTTGCTGAAATGGCACCTGAATATTACAAGGTGGCTGAGACACAGAAAGACAAAATAAATAAGAAAATAAGTAACGAAAGAAACGTAGGGTTGGAAATTGGTTTATGAGATTTCAAAATAAAGTATATAGAGACTTTATTATTTTCGTTTTAGGTTATTATATTATAGATAAGTAGCAGTATCCCCTACCGGGCTGCAAAATGAGTCAATACAACTTTTGTATTTATGTTGCATATTCATACAGCGCCTATTACAATTATTTCTGTTAGAGATCCCTCTATATATTAAAAACATGCTTTTTCATAAAGGTATATACATGGATCTTTGAAATAAAGATCTGATTATCCCATCTGCATACTGCTGGATACTACAATTATTAATTTCTTCTATAAAGTGCATATTGAAATGAAATTCTAAATTGCATTGCCAATATGCAAAACAAAGTTGATGGTATTCTGGTGTAATGTTGTTCAGAAAGTCACCAATTCTTATATCTATTTTTTTTTGCTGTTTTTCAGAACAAAATAGCAATATGGTAAGAAACTGACCCAAATATCATTAGCCTAATTACTGGTTTCAGTTCACATGAAGAGTGAGATTTCAGGCTGAATTGTTTCAGAAAGCTGTGTTTTAAATGCAGAATACCTATTTTGAGTATGAAATGGGTGCTCAAACATGGTCTTCCCAAAATGCCTGAAAGGCCAGTTCCACCGCTGAAATGATACAATTTGAAGATATACTGCACTCCACTGTATTAGGAGCTATGGTGGCGCAGTGGTTAGAATGCAGTACTGCAGGCTACTTCTGCTGACTACCAGCTGCCAGCAGTTCAATTCTCACCAGCTCAAGGTTAACTCAGCCTTCCATCCTTCTGATGTCGGTAAAATGAGGACCCAGACTGCTGGGGGCAATATGCTGACTCTGTAAACCGCTTAGAGAGGGCTGTAAAGCACTGTGAAGCAGTATATAAGTCTAAATGCTATTGTTATTGCTATCTGATTTTTAATTTACATCTTAGACATTCCATATTAAATGAACTACATGGGAATACTGCTGGTCTTACTGGTCTGAGATAAATTTATTTACAGAAAGGCACTGTCATATAAAAATGCACAGAAATGAATAAATTAAAAGTAAACTGTTTATATCAGTTTCACTTGCTTGGACTTTGGATGGCATGTCCCTGCCACTGTTACTGAAGATTTCTTAAAATGTAAAAAAAGTATTTCATATCTATAATTTAATGACAATAGAAAGCAGTTTAATTGTTTACCTTGGCCTGATATTGCAGTCACTTAGTTCCCATGAAAAACACTATCCAAGAATTGCTACTTCAAACAGATGTGTAATTATAGTCAAGTTCTTGCACAGGAAAAATTGCATGTTAATAACCATTTTAATGTAACAGAAGGCAAAATTATTAAATACAGGGGAAGTGATTTTATTGAGAGAAACGAACTGAATTAAATTTATTTAATTTCCCCCTTTATTTTTTTAAATGGTCATCTGGCGACTTATTCAAGAACTGAATGGAGTTCATTGGCTTGAAAAAGCTTGCATTATTATGAGTTAAACAGAAAACATTCCTCTCAGTATCTCTTTTGTGACTTAGAGCACCCCCCCATCAGACAATTTTCAACACAAACCAAGGCTTTCATTTATTTGGTAACCATGTGACTACACAGAATACCAGAATTTAATCCTTATTGCAAGCAGGTACAAGACCCATACTGTTCATCTGAACAAACTATGACTTGCTGGGAATACATACAAATATTGCAACTAAGTACTGCTTGCAAAAGAAGAAAGAGAGGTACTCTCTTTCCAAGTCCTGTGCTTAATTATTCTCCTAACAATAAATCCTAGCTTGGTATTAGGTGTGTGAAGTAAGCCACAAAGGAGTTAGAGTTTGGAGATATAATTAGTGCAAATAAGTAACAGTGATACAGTTCTTTGATACAGTTCTTTGATATTATAATTAATTATTATTTTTAGGTGTTTAGAAGTAGGGTAGAAATTGAAAGTTCTAAAAGGGAAGACCAAAACTTTCTTTTTAAAGAATTATACAAAATAGTTCTTGAAAAACATTTCATTAATTGGTGCTATACTTGACAAAGTGTTTGCTTAGTAATGTTCTCTTTTCTATTAGAGAAAAAGCAGTTTCTAACAACTGTAAGCTACAGCCAAAGATACAAATATATTCAACAATAAGGTGTATTAGAATCTTCCCTCAAAATATTATTATTTATTCAGAAGGAGAGCTTCAGACTTTACACATGTATAGCACCTTTCTGCTATTAATTGAAGCAGCCTATCTTGTTTAATACTTCTTTAAAAAGTTGACTCTGCTTTAAGATTTTTATATTTTTTAAGTAGTGATATTCTTTTTTCAGGCTTATGCTAAAAATTGAAAAGTATGTATGTTTTTGAATGAGTAAGAGTGAGATGCTGTTTTTGTGCTAATTAAGAAGCGAGCATATAGCAACAGGGTTTTTTTGTTTATTGAAAATAACATCTACAACTTGCTACAGAAAAGGTAAGTTCAACAATCTCAGATGCTTAAAAATCACTGTAAATTTCATTTGCATACACATTATTGTATTATTGTGATGATTGCAGGCTCCTTCCCAGTATTTTATAAGAAATCATTTTCTTTTGATACCAGTTATAATTATCTTTGCTAATTACAATTAGATTACAAAATTTCTTATATTTTAAGAGGTGGGGAGGGGGAAATCACAGGTTGAGTCAAGCACAATGAATTTCCTTTGCCTTTGTTTATGACAAAACAAAGGGAAAATTTCTTTGGACTTCAGTAGTTTAAAAACAATTCAGGGTATGATTTGACAGATTCCTGTATCAGTATTTTTAAGGCGAAAACATTTCTGCTGGATGGATGGGTTTTAAATCTGCTTTCTCTTTTTTAAAGCTCATGTACACAACAGTTTATAGTAGATTCAACAAACTGGAATGCATATGATAAAATTATGCACCAATAAGGACAAGGAAAAAAGCAGCAGCAATTTTAATACTGGAATGGAATTCTTATTACATGTTATTGTATTATTTTGCTTGGTTTAGATTAAGATTAGTATAGTAGTAGTACAAAGCACAGCCCATTTTTATTATGTAATTCATATGCAGTAGCATTTCATGCTATTTTTATTATCTTAGCATGGTTAACTCATTTTTCTTCATTCTCTTTTTACTGGATAATCAATAGCTTTCAGCTTCCTAAAAGAAAGGTAAAAATATGCTTCTCATCTCAGAATTCTAGTACAGTATTTCCACCAGTATGGGATGTGGTACATTATGTTATTATTCTGATAATCCCATTTATTTGTGATACACAAATAAAAGATAAAGTGGAAATATTTACTAAGCTCTAGAGTTCATAAATTGTATTTAACACTAATTTATTGTTAGACTAAATTAAAATTATGTTGAACTTTTAACTACCGTGGTACTTGCATTGTTTGATTTACCCATTACTTTATAAATATGACCAATAACTAAAAAATCTCGGATCCTCCATCTACTAAAATCACCTATGATAATAACAGCCCAGTGTGATAACTGGTATTTGAATGTTAAATGCAGAATAGTTTGGACATTGTAAGTAGAATATTACACTTGTTTAAATACAGTGTTTCACTACCTAGGTTGAACTTGTATTGTTTCTGCAACAGACATTGATAAAGGGAAATATTCTCACCTAAAATTGCAGTTGGCACAAATGGATCTGTCATACATCATAAGCAGGTCAATGCAGAAAAGGTAAAAAGAGAAAGAAAAGTAAATGACGAACAAATGTTCCAATTTTCTTTTTGCTCAGAAAGCCACAAGTTATAAGCAATAGAGCTTCTACACTTTGAAAATATTTTTGGAGAAGTGCAATTTGCAACATTTCTATTTGTTAAAGCTGCCCAACTTTTCCAGGGTTCTCCTGAAAGAAGAAGAAAACAAGTTGGCTGCTTTAAGAGTCATCTTGGTTTAATAAGTGGATTCCTTAAAGGAATGGCATCTTTTTTTGAAGTTCATTCAGAAGCCTAAAAAAGCCATATTGCTTTAGTGCTTTAGAACAGTTTTCAAGCCAAGTCTGCAGCATTTCTTTAGATTCATTTTCCAAAGTGTGAAAAACTCTAATAAGAAAGTTGTTATTTCATGCAAATGGCATTTAACTCTTTTAGAAGGATTTTTATATATAGGCAATCACAAGAATATACTGTAATATTCATATATGTCTTTAAACTTTGGCCATGTTCAGTATTTCAGTCTGTACTTAAAAAACTGATAGGCTAGGCCCTAGTGGAGATTTGATGGCTGGGTGTGTGCGTAAGAGATACACGCAAGCTTCTTATTCTCTGTGGTAGCCATTACACCAGCTAGGCTTCAAGGAAGTCAGTATTCTTCTGATTCTCTCCCTCTATAGCACTGTTTCTCAACCTTGGTCACTTTAAGATGAGTGGACATCAACTCCCAGAATCCCCATGGCTGGCTGAGGAATTCTGGGAATTGAAGTCCACACATCTTTAAGTGATCAAGGTTCAGAAACAGTGCTCTATAGAACTTTGCCTGAATTAAAGAAACAGCTCACAGTTTCTAAGAGATTGTTATAAAAGTAAACTATTTACAGTATTTAAAAACCAATGAAATATTACCTGGGTAATATGAATTGGGAACAGTTGTACTCAGAGTGTTCGTTTTCATTGTAAATGAAGAGGGTGATGATACAGCTGGAAAGAGAGAACACTATGCAGTAAATCTAAACAAAAGTATTAGCAAACAATAGCTTATTTGTATCACACCCCAAGATGATGAATCTTGTTAAATACAATAAGCAATGTTACGTGAAAAATTAGCAACAGTGTTTGTGTAACTTGCTATTATTTAAATGTTTTGTGTTTTCTTACATAGATATTGTGTTTCTTTCATTTTCTTGCATGCTTTATAAGGTGCCTTCTGCAATTAGGAACTCTATGACCCAGTTTTGTATATATCATGTATCACAAAATGGAGATGCAGTATGGATTTCTCTCCAATGATACTTGAAGGAACAGTGTAGGAAAGAACCACAAGCTGCTAAAGGCAACTTTGGGAAAGAACTTAGTCCAAAAATGCTTTAAATTAGGCTATAATCTTATGCCCATTAATTAAATTGAACTAAACTAACGGATTTTTAATATGCATATTTTTCAGAATTGTGTGGCTGTTATGAATAGGTTTCTGCTGTAGCTATATGATCCAGGAAAAAGAGGGGTTCCTTTAATTAATTGCAAACAAGTGCTGTTTTCTTGCACTGTGTGTTCTAAGTCATCTTTTCACAATCTAATATAAAGCATTTCACAGTCCTAACAGACACTTTTGAAACCTCTTCTGTGGAACTATTGCACTATAGTTTATATGCATTTTATATTTTCACTCATGGATGAATTTTTCCTTTAAAAAACTAGTAATAAAAATACTTTTTTATAGCTTATGTCACATTCTAAAAGTAGTATAGCAACCAAAGAGTTCACAGGAGCACTCTAATTCATTTCCTGACATCTTCAGTAGAATAGATTTCAAATAGCAAAGCTGAGATCTGTTTAAAGATTCTTGCCTGAGACTTGGGAAAACTGTTGTCAGACAGAATAGATCAGCTTTACTCTTGATAAGTTGGGGAGGCATTACTCAGAATCCAATGGAAGTTGTGGTCTCTTACATCTTGGGATTGTACTATTTTGGGAATGTTTGAAATAGTCTATACTGGCAAGATGGGCAAATATCTTGGGTGGGGAAGCTTCCTATATTTATTGCTTTAATCTTTCTGAGACACAATATTAAAGCCGTATGGAATCTTATCTTAAATACCATTTTAGTCTTATACCATAAAGGAACCTGGATCAATCTAGCTCCAAAACAAATATCAATTAACTGAATTCTCTTATGGTAGGAACTCTGAAATTTGTCAGTTGTAGCTAAACAGCCACCATTGTCTGAAATTTGTCAGTTGTAGCTAAACAGCCACCATTGTCTGAAATTTGTCAGTTGTAGCTAAACAGCCACCATTCACACATACTATGTTTCTTAAAAATGGTCACCAAAATATGGAGGCTATCCCGCAGCATTGTATAATAAATGAGGAAACTGAACGTAACACATGCTGCATTGATGTCAGTGGATTTTATTTGGAAGCAAGGGAAAGGCATAAATACAAAATTTTCCTTATTAAAGATTCTACCCCATCTTCTAGCTATAAGATGTGAAATGTTGCACAGGTGAGATCTTGGAGCCCACGGATTGAATAGCAAGCATTTAAGAGCCTTTCACACTTCCCTTTGCTATTTGCTCTGCAGAAATTAAAATGACTTCCACTTACATCTCCCATTTAGATTGTGTGTATCCATGAAAGAGAAAGCTTCATCACAGTTGGTACCTTGTTCAGCATAGCTTTTATCCATTGAGTTCACCATCACTGTCATTTCCTGTCGTGTGTTACTCAATGTCTCCTTTCGCTTTTTAGCCAGTTTTCTTAAGAAAGAAACATTAAAGAAAGAAGATGATGCTTCAATGAGCAAGCATAGAATTCATTATTTTTATTTCATATAATTTGTAAATTCACTTCTGCTAACAAGAACTTATGTCAGCCACACACACACACGTTTAAATCAGCATGAAATGTAAACAGCTACAACATTTCCACTATGAATTAATAAGAAAAGGCAATACATATAATTAGATTAATAAAATACAGAATTAAATAGTTACTGTATATGTACTATATAGAGATGAAGGAAAAAGAAGTGGATTATAGATGCCTGAGCACAAAAGACATCCTTAGAATCCTAGGCTGTCTTGTGTTTGGATTCTAAAACTGGGCTGCAAAACCTATTTGCCTTTGAAGGGTCAAAAGAGTGTCAGTCAGCCACTCAAGGAAAGTCCCGATTTGGTAGGGCAAGGGTCCCCAAACCCCGGTCCATGGACTGGTACCGGGCCACAGCATGCCAGCAACTAGTCTGCACAAACAAGCAAAGCCCCATCCATGGGATGCAGGCAGCGCACAAAACCATGCACTCTCCGGTCCACGGAAAAACCTTTCTCCACGGCACCGGTCCCTGGTGCCCAAAAGGTTGGGGACTTCTGTGGTAGGGTGACTGTAACAGTGGGCAATTGAATCCTAGCCTCTGGCTGAGTGTAAGCTCTAAGACAACGCAGTACAGGTACCGGTAGTCCATGACTTTCAACCACAATTGAGCGCAAAATTTCTGTTGCTAAATGAGAAATTTGTTAAGTGAGTTTTGCCCCATTGTATGACTTTTCTTGCCACATTTGTTAAATGAATCACTGCGCTTGTGTCAAGCCCTCCCGGGCTCGACACACAAGGAGGGGGAGAACCAGCATCGCAGTCAGCAAGCCGACGAGCAGCTGTAATTGACAATCAGCTGAGGGGAGGCAGCCCGGAGAGCACAGGGCGTCGCCGCAGAAGCACAGGGCATCGGCAGGAAGATTCCAGACGGAGAGACTAATGGGGCAATTGACTGAAAGATGCTGGTTGGGGGAATAGGAGGGTGTGATGTAGGAGGGCGGGGGTGTGGTGGTGTCGCTTGGTGGAGTGAACTTGGGAGTGTATTTAAATAATGCTGGGAGGCAGTAGCTCCCAGCGTAAACTTTATTTGTAAAGAGCCTCAGGCTGAAGGTCTTTGCTAACGTCAGAAGCTTGTTCCTGATTAAACCGTCATTTCATGAGTAAACAGCGTCTTCGCTGTCAACTCACGTTCCAGTAAGGACAATTGACAGCTTGTTAAATTAGTGACACCATTGTTAAGCGAATCTGGCTTTCCCATTGACTTTGCTTGTCAAAAGGTCACAAAAGGTCATCACATGACTGGGCCACTGCAGCCATCATAAATATGAACCAGCTGTCAAGTATCCAAATGTAAACCATGTGACCATGGGGATGCAGCAACGGTCTTGTGAAAAATAGCAATAGCAATAACACTTAGACTTATCTACCGCTTCACAGTGCTTTACAGTTCTCACTAAGTGATTTTACAGAGTCAGCATATTGCCCCTAATAGTCTGGGTCCTCATTTTACCGACCTCAGAAGGATGGAAGGCTAAGCCGGTAAGAATCGAACTGCTGGCAGTTGGCAGAATTAGCCTGCAATACTGCATTCTAACCACTGTGCCACCACGGCTTCTGACCTATGGTCATAAGTCACTTTTTTCAGTGTCATTGTAACTTTAAACAGTCATTAAACGAACTGTTGTGTGTTGAGGGTTACCTGCATTTCAAAGAGCTGAGTGTCTGATTTGGTGGGACTCCTTGAGAGGCATTTAAATCAATGTAATCTATTTTCTGATTTATTTAATTTAATTTATGGCTGGATGATGCAAAAGTATGTAAACTGATTATCAGTTTCTCTAGGCCTACAAACATCAGGTGCACTAAACACTACACTCAAAACATAGCAGGTGTGAAACATAAGACTAAAGCCATCATATCCTAGGATAGAGATACTAGATCTGTCAATAACTGATAACCATTCAGCTTCAGGTCATTAAGTGCAGGGCAAAAAAACCCATCGAAATATGGGAAAAGCAGGAAAAAGAAACAATTGGTTTAAATAGTTGTTGGTATCAGAGGCAAACTCTACTCTCACACTGTCGGAGGACAGTCAATGTTCCATAGGCCTAGCTCTAAGATTTCTTATCTAGTTGTGCCATGTTCTACAGTATGTCTGAGAGACAAGTTTGAGTCTAGTAGCCAAGTTAAGCTGCATGAAGTTGAAGGGCTAAGATTTATTGCTGAACCCTGCTTTGGTAGACTGAGAGCTAATGCTCCCAAGAGGAGAAAATCTGTTCAGTTATATTAAGAGAATAACTCTGGAAGCAAAACAGAAAAAAATCCCCACAAAATCCTTATTAACAGTCTGAAAATATTTAAGACTAAAGGTTGTTTTTTCCTTCTTCTACCACATTAAAATTATAATTTTGTGGCAAATTGTGGAGGAGTTCTGAAATTTAAAGCCTGTTCAATGCTCTGAAGAACCTTGGAGCCGAAAGTTTATTTATTTGTAAGATTTATATATCATGTCAGTCTGATCAGCTTTTAATGGTACATTTCAGAGCACCAGTAACAATGGATAGAATGAAATTTTACTGAACTTGATGACAGTGCTTCAGGGGAAGACTGTGAGAACTATCAATCAAACATGCAAATATGTTTGCACAACTGAATTTCTCTACCATTCTTACATGGGAAAAAGCACTATAAATTAAAAGCAGAAATAATGATAATCATTAATTTGGAGGATTTTTATAGTGGTTTGGATGCATTCATGGAGGACGGATCTATCAAGTATTCTCACTCAACGCTGAATGTCACCTTAATAGGGACAATATACAAGGGAATAAGGGTTGGAAAGCAATCAATTAGAATGCCAGAAAGTCTGTTAGGCACTTTGACTGGATTAAGATAGTCTTCAGCTTGATCCAGCTTGCATTTTTCAGGTCATACTTCCTGTTATCTCAGGTGGAGATTTTCTCACCATCTTCTCTGACTCTTTTAACTGAAGGTTCCGGAATCCAAATATGTTTTCTACCCAAAGCATATATTGTATATAAGCTGCAGGTTCTTTTTCTCAGCTATGATCCATTGCTCATAAACCGATTTTCCACTTTCTATATTATAAATTTCTACCCTGCAGTAAAATATCCTTCACGTGTCTGCACAAATATTTCAAGTAGGGGTTAATAGGAAATGTCCTTTTTTTGGCCTTAGTAATTATAGCGAGAGTGGAACTTCTACTTTTGTGTGAATATATAAAACAGGGCTTAGAACTGCAACTGTTATTCCTTTTCTTCTATGTAATGATCATATAATTTTCATTGGAAAATTTGAACTTAGGAAAAGATCCAAATGAGCAAGTTTAATACATATCAGCAGGATGCCTGATGCATGTCAATATACTGAGTATCTTTAAACCACTGTCTGATCAAAAATGAGGACAAATGACCCAGTTTCTTTTTCCCACTCCATACCTTCACTGAATGTGGAAAGAAGTTTAGTTGTCTGTAGTATTATGAAACTGAAAAACCAATAACATTCCCCCAATATTCCATGTTCTTTCAGAGTTCTCTATCTATTATGTTTTGACCTTTCAGAGATGCTTCTCTCAAAAGGCCCTGATCATTTTTTGTGTGAAATTTCATATAGTTCAAGATAGCTTATTATATTGTACAGCCTCTATAGTCAGAGTATCTCAAAAATGACAAAAATAATGAAAAGTTTCAGGGTCATTATATGATTGACAAGACCAAATACTAGACAGTTAAAAATAAAAATAACTTATTATTTTGGCATCCAAATTTGCTATTTTTTGTTTAAAACAACACAGAAATCACGAGAGGTAATTTTTATATATTATATATAATTTTTTTTAAAAATGTTCTCATTAAATACAAAATGTGCAGAATGGTTGAGCTGAAAACACCTTGAAATTATTTCAACATTTTAGAAAATACAAAAAAATTGTGTCGCTTTAAAAGTCAGGAAACTATGGGCTGGGTTGTGAATTTGCATTCCTTATTATTTGAATTCACTTCAACTCTTTACTCAGGTCATAAGTAAACATAACTTTAACCCCTGCAACAGATGTTACTTTCAGCTGCCCCTTTCAAAGGACCTGTTTCAGGTTAAGGTATATAATTTGGCCAGAAGCTGAACCTAGTGGTATAATCATATACATGAAAGCATTAATTTGAATGATATTAGTTTACTCTTCAGCTGAATGATGATGTAAGACTATTAAATTTTCTCTGTCTATTTTCTCTGCTACTTAATTAAGATATATAACAGGTTTATATATTACACTAGAATAATACCTACAGTTGCTCTATGAACTCATTACATTTAATTCCAAGTTATAAGTCAGTAAGCACACTCAAGAAATAAAAAATAGAAATAAAAATTAAAATCTATCTAATATAAAAAAGAAGAAAATATTATTTTAACAATAGTGTATTTTTTCTATTAGAGAGGAGAATTTCTCCCCTTATTTAAAAATTTTATCTGATATTTGATAAGCTTTTCATTCTGTATTTTTGGGAATAATATGGAGTATAGTAAATAGTGACTATATGGGGAACACTGAGGTCTACTTCAGGACTACCGAGCTAATATATGACAACTGATAACACAGACATGATATTTTTAAACTGGTTTTCCATACAGACATATTCTAATAACATCATCTTGAGACTAATTATCACTTGAGGAAAGAAAATACTAATAATTAAAGAGTCCCCTTCATATTCAAGTCAAGCCTTTAGTTGCATGCAGAGCTGGAAACATGGAGTAATGAGCTGCCAATGTCAATTCCTTTTAAAATGTTCATAAAGTTCAATAGTAGATCTTTTAAAGCTAGTTCAAATACAGCCAGGAGGGCTTTCCTATAAAAGAGCAAAGTCCATTGAAGATCCTCATTTCACCTCAGAGTTCAAGACACTGTAACACATGTTGTGATAAC